GAATCCTGGGAACAAGGTTTTCAAACTCACATTTGCTGCTGATTCTATCAGTTCTGTTGGTGGTGTATATGTTGTAGTTAATTTTTTATCTCAGATAATTTTTATTTTTCCTTTGTTTCAACCTCATTAGCATACATTACCAAACCTAAAAACAAAAGAAAAATAAAAATTACCTGAGATAAAAATTTAACTGCAACATATACACATTGTACGCTATGAGTATCATGATTATAAGCAAAGCTGGGACAGTTTAAATTTTCAGTAACATTACAAAGGAAGAGCGTTGCCAATAAATTACATTATGAACATGGTTTATTGTTATACCACGTACTTCCAGGTGTCTCTAGCAGGGGTTCTAGCAATTATGAATCGATTACAGTCTGGGCCAAAAGTCGCCTTCAAAAGTATTTTTCACTTACTATGCCCAGGGATGGATAAATTCGAACACGTTAAAGCCATTTCTCGTGTTGATTTATTCTCTACTTTCTTCCCCTTGCTTGCTCTCTCCTAATTTTCTTGTTTGACTTGGCTCAGCTTTCATGTGGCCCTATCTCATATTAAGCAAACCACAAATAAAAAACACACTTAATGTGGAAAATTACCTGCACTCATGTTTGGAGTAAGTTCATATTTAGCTGAGAGTGTTTTTATTTCTTCTCTAGATTACCACTTGCCAATTCCTGATTCAGAATGGAGGACCAAATTCATAGTAGGAATGTTGATCAAGTACTTGAAATGCAACCTTGCCTGCGATCTTCACTTGACGTACACATAGAGCCAAAACCTTCTCCGACATCCTCAATGGTCACCATAGAGGAAATTGCCCCACAAAATGACACCATATCTGATGAAAAAGAAACACGACTGTCGAACCAAATTTGTTGTTTTATAAAGTCAGTAAAAGACAAAAGGCTTTCTGCAGCAGAGAAGAATGTTAGAAGATACTACAAACAAATGGAACAGACGAAATCCACCCTTGAGCAAGTTGATACTCAAGAATTACGAAGAAGAAGCATGGATTCAGAAGATGGCAAGGAGTTGAACATATCTGTTGCCATAAGGCTGAGCTTGTTATGTAACATTGGATTACTTGTTAGCAAAGCAGTTGCAGCATATTTGTCTGGTTCAATGTCAATCATTTCCAGCTTAGTAGACAGTGCTGTTGACCTGATGTCTGGTTTGGTTGTTTGCTACACGTCTCATGCCATCAAATGCACTAACTACTATGAGTATCCTGAAGGAAAAACGCGTCTGGAGCCTATCAGTATAATAGTGTTGGCAGTCATCATGGCAGTGGCCTCTATACAAGTTATAATCACCTCGGTTACAAAGATAATAGAAAACTCTGCTAATCCTGATATAACTACTGGCACAATTGCTATCATTGCCGCAACAGTTGTAATCAAAATGCTTTTGTTTCTGTACTGCCGACATATTAAAAGTCCTTCCACTAATGTGTTGGCACAGGACCACAGAAATGATGTATTGTCTAATGCTGTTGCTTTAGGATTTGGGTTTCTTGGGTTCAAAGTATGGAGGAATGCTGATCCATTAGGTGCCATCTTAATAAGCATTTACATATTTTTGGGCTGGTATAGAACTGGAAGGCAACAAATCCGTGACTTAACAGGACACGCTGCATGCCCACTAATACTGCAGAAACTGCTGTGGGTTTGTATGACCCATGATCCAAGAATTCAGTTTATTGACACCCTACGAGCCTATCATTTTGGGTATAATATCCTTGTAGAGGCACATATTGTCTTACCCTCTGATATGAACCTGTGTGAAGCACATGACATTGGTGAGTCACTTCAAAACAAACTGGAAAGCTACTGTGAGGTTGAAAGAGCCTTTGTTCACATTGACTATGACTTTGAACATCATCCCAGCATGGAGCATAAGATGGGCCAACCATGCAGTGTCACTGTTGACTTTTCAGGAGAGTGAAACGTTGTCAGTGAAACAAAAAATAGGGCAACATTTAGAACTTGTTAAGACTTCAGAGATACAGAGTCTCTCTGTTTTGTATTACCCCCTTCCCCAAATATTAACATTCGACCAAACCACCCCCCATCCTCTGCTAAACACAAATCAACAAAGTCCCCAATTTGTAACATGAGTGCGTTATAGACGTTATGTAAAGTGTGCGTGAAGTACAGATCATCAGAATTTGCTTCTACGTAATAACAAGATAATTATTGACAGTGATAAAATAGGTCAAAAAGTGTCCTTGAAACCATGCTATGAATCGAAAACATTTTTTTAATTTCGGAGAACAAATGTTCAAAATTCCAAACTGAAGGACAGAAAAGCTCTGTAGTCAGAAGGCGATTTTATCTTGGCTGGTGATCCGTAAGAGAGATCTGCGCCATATCCGGGAAGCTGCCAGATAATCCAGGAGAGTTTGTATATGTAAGGATATCTGCAGTGAGTGAAAAATCACAATAATCTTAAGTCTTACAGAGTGCATCTTAACGTACATGATTGCGTTCAATGT